GAAACCTTGCAGAGAACAATTTACATTTCTTAAAAAGCAGACTGAGAGTGAAAATATGATGTATTGCGCATATCTGCTGTATGCTCCATGCTTTTGTCAAAAATGTTAGCTGAACGTTGACTTCCTTCTAACAACTTTCAAACAGCACCTGGTGCCCGATCAGTTGGTCTCGTTGATGAAAGTTGAGGTTGCGTAGGTTGTAGGTGGAAAAAAAAACAAAAATAGAGAAGTAGAAAAAGACCAAAACGGACAAAATGAGCTTGCTTTTGCCCGTTTATTACAACAGACAACACCCTCTATACTCTTTCTTGTAGACGGCGATTCCTCACACTAACCATATCAGGCCGAGTGCACCATCTGGAAGGTGCGGCTCTCATCAGAACGGTGGTCACCGTGGATAACTTGTTGGAGCGCCACTTGAAAGAAATTCGGCTTTAAACTGACGTCTTGGTCACTGAGTGACGTGAATTCCTTTTACAGTATGCACAATTTCCTTTCTTCACATCCAATTTGTCGTAGCGCTTTTAATCGCTTACTTTGAGTTCATGATTCTTCGGCAAAGATGGTGCAAGGGTTTGGGGAGGTGACTGTAAGTGCGTACTGCTTTTCATTCTCATAGCTCTCCGACATCCCACATTACCAACGCGATTTGTGTTTGAAAAAAGCGTGAGTTGTTTCAGCCTTGTCTTTGCCGTAACCAATGACTTCAATGTTGACAGTAACTGAGACACCCAGAGAGCCCAGCATATTGTGAAAACATTTTCATTTTACAGGAGCAGAACTCCAAGCTGTATGATAAAAGGATAAAAGGATAAAGCATTTGCCGTTGATCAATCCCTTTTTGGGATGCGGCACGCATTCTACTTCCATTTGTACATTCGTAGTGGCGTTTGAATGCGATGTGGCCTATACAATGACTTGCGGGGGCCAGCCGATGTACAAGTCAGTGTTTTTTATCCTCCCAGACAAGTCTGGTACCAATTAACCGAGAGGGATGGAAGGCTTGGTTGGCCCGGGCGACTCACGACCCAGGATTTGATCCCGGACCGCTCGCGTGTGTAGCGGCACTTGCCACTACACACTTCACCACTTTTTGATCATATGGATCAAATTGGCTATCAGCACAAATTAGCAAAGGATTTTAGCACATAGTATCTCTGATTAGATGATCATTGAAAGAGGAGATCCTATCCTGCAGAGTGCAGTGAAAAAACCACAATCAAGTTGGAATTGCCAGGATACACGTCGTCAGAATTGAATATTATCCAAAACATCCTAGAAGTTATTACATCGTCAAGAGCAATCTGATGAGAACATGAAAACCTACTACTAGACACTAATTGTATGAAAAAAACTATTCACATGAGACAGTATGTGAGAGGAGACTTGACAATAAATCGGCAGGCAAAGATTTCAAACAGACAGCAGTTTTTGAAGCCGTTCCTCCAGTTCACGTTTCTCCTTCTTGAATGATTTGACTTTTGTCCTAAAATGTATCACGCTCTCCTTTTATGTAAAAGACCTGAGGCCACACCCTATCTCCCCGGCTAAGGGGAGAAAATGGTCCTTCTTAATTTATTTTGTCTTCAGCAAAGCGTTTCCCTTCTTTTTCGCACATGTTGCGTTTCACATATATGTACATATGTGCATTCCAAATGTGCAGTTTCTCACGAGGAAGGTCTTTCAGGAAATGCCAGCTTTCTCGAAACGGTTTTTTGCATGATATAGGGGTACGTGCATGGAACACAGAACTGTAGTTCATTTTTCCTGAGCGGCCCTTGAATACCAAAAAAGGGGTGATGAAGTGGTCCGTGGTTCGAATCCTCGCAGTGACAATTTTTTGCATTTTGTGTTGGCGTTTCAAAATTCGCGAAAAATAGCGTCAGCGTAAACAACTTATGTCATATCTATAATTAGGACCATCAGCAACCTTTATACGTAGACTTTGGCTAAAAAACTGGTGAAGAAAGTTAAGAACGGCAGTTCCTTCAAGAAATTTTTCTTCGCTCCTTTTTTGGTATTCAGAGGGTCGCTCAGGAAAAATGAACCACAGTTCTGTGTTCCATGCACGCACCTCTATATCATGCAAAAAACCACTTCGAGAAAGCTGGGCATTTACTGGAATACCTCCCTGATCAGGGCGATTATTGTAGGAAGGCAAAGAAAATTTGAAGGAATTTTTTGTTCTTCTAGCCTAGGGGAAGGATAGAATACGGCCTCTGATTTGAAAGAGGGGAACGCATTATGAAAAACGGTGGAGAAATTCCTTGGCAAGGGGTCATATTCACTCCAATTCATTGAGTGTTCTTTTAGATCAATAATCACATAACACTTGCGGATTGTCATAAAGCTGGCCCGCCCAGTATTAACTATCAAGCAATTCCACTTTTGCCACAAATTTTAACGCCTGAGAGAGGCTGTGATCCGCATCATTGGCAGAACATTTGGCAGTCTCTGCTTTTACACATCTTTTCGGTCCATGGATTATTTGTTTCCTAATCTCATGTTGGTGCCACTACACTCGTTCACAAACCACACCTGTACTCCTTCCTTTCGGATTCTAGCTGATCCAACAGTATTTTACCCTCTTCTCGGAGAGCAGAGATCAAATGGCTCTGATCTTTCAATAGCCGTTGTACTTCTGCAAATAAGTATCTGATGAAAAGATAAAGGTAAAAATAACATAGATACGGCAACTCACGCTCTTCTCCTTCGTCCTCCGGAAAACCCTTTGCATTCTGAAAAATGTCATGAAGAACTTTCAAATAGTAAGCGCAACAGTGGAATCAACCCACTTTTCCTCTCAGCATAGCATTCTCCTCTACAAGTGCTGCTATACGACACTCCGCCACCTTGCATTCCTTCCGTAACTTCATCATTTCAGACGATAGCCGTTCACAGTGCGCTTGTAGATGGGCGGATCCTTGCCTCAATACATCAACTTCTCCTCCCAACTCGGAAGCGATATGATCTCTTTCGTTCAGAGCAGCTGAATTCACGTCACATGAAATGGATCACTCACAGCTAGAAGAAAGGGGCGTAAAATCTGGTGATAACTTATTTTCAAGGCAACTATGTACTAAACTGCGTTGCAAAAAAAGAATCACCATGAACTGAGCATGAGCACCATGTGAGCTGTATACTTTTGACAAAGGTAGCTCTGTCTGTGTCACCACCAAAACTTGACTGACGCTTCTCATTGGATCAAACTTTATTTCAGCTGAAATCTATGCAATCGCCC